GTATTGTTAAACAACCAACGTTTATATTTTTTTACTTTGAAATAAAGGGTTTTGCATCTGTCTTCTGTTGTGTATTGTGTTCTTATGAATCACAGATACAGTTCTATTAGTGATTTGAATTCTGGGAATAGAGTGAGTGAGTGAATATGGTTTTACTCCGCTTTTAGCAATATTCCAGCAATATCAAGTTGGGGGACACCAGAAATGGGCTTCACACATTGTACCCATGTGGGAAATCGAACCCGGGTCTTCCGCTTGACGAGCCAATGCTTGAACCACTAGGCTACCCTACCGCCCCTCTGGGAATAGGGGTTAGAGATGCTAGGACTGCTGTCGTCACAAACATCAATTTTTGCTGTATAAACCTCGTACACCCGTGAAGGTCCAGGTTGGAATTGATCTTCAGTAACTTGTCGTAAGAAGCGACTCACGGGATCGGCTGGTCAAGTTCGCTGACTGGATTGTCACGTCATCGTATCCAAATTATGTAGATCGATGTTCTTGCTGTTGAACCCTGGATTGTCTGGTCCAGACTCGATTATTTACAGACCGCCGCCATATAGCTGGGATATTGCTGAGTGCTGTGTAAAACTAAACTAACTCACTCATAAAAGGCGACTGAGGGGATCAGGTAGTCAGACTCACTGATTTGGTTGACACATGCCATTACAAAAAGAATTTTGTCTGGTCCAGACTTGATTAATTACAGACAGCCTCCTTTATTCTTTTCCAGGTTTCTTCACAAGGTATGTATTCTGGGTATACTGACTGACTGAGTTTAGTTTTACGTCGCTTTTAGCAATATTCCAGCAATATCACGGCGGGGGACACCAGAAATGGGCTAATTCTGGGTATAAATAAGGTGAGGTGAGGTGAAATTGGGTTTTACGTCGTGCTTGAGAATATTTCGATCATATGACGACGTGTGTGTATTTGCGGCTGCTTGTACTAGCCCAGACTTAAGCTGGTTTTATAGTGCTAGCCCACTGAGATACCATGCCGCAGTGAAGCATGAATACCCAACTCAGACACAGTATACTGACTCTGAGCCGACCAGTCCTTGTTGTACCCATTAATGCCGAACGCCAGGCAGGGACCAACAAGTACCATATTTTAACGTCTTTTGGTATGACGCGGTCGGGGATCGAACCCGCGACCTTCCGCTCTCGAGAATAAATAAAGGAACACTTGTACTTTCATGTGTTCCCTTATCCATTTCCATGAGTATATATTCAATGACTAAGCGCAAGTGGAATGTCAACCAAGTTAGTCAATCTGACCAACGATCCCCTCCGTCGCTTCTCATAACAAGCATGGGTTGTTGAAAACCAATTCTAACGAAGATCTTCACTGTATCCAGCTATTTCAACATCTGATGGTCACCAATCTGGTCAAGCAGTAATTAGTCGGTATGATACATGACCTAAAGTTTTTAAGAATGACACATACAAAACTGTCGCATAGTGTTTTATATAAAAATCTTTCACAAAACTGTTCATTAAAAACATGGGGGAAAATTACAAAAAGAAATATAGTCTCTACAAATGTATATGGTTAATGTTACATCAAAACAACATGTGTAAAAATAACTATATCAGTTTACAAGCAGTAATAAAACAAGAGTCATCAGAAGATGACATATGCCCCCCGGCCCCCACATCTTTGAAAGAACAAATCATCTGACATTTACTTAAAGTCCAGCTTGATTTTAGACTAAAATCGTTTCCATGGAAATCATGAAAAAAATAAATGACAAAAATCTGCAAATAGCAAAAGGCACCACTTTGGGATCTGCCTCACGTATCTGCCAAGTTTTGCTGAAAGATATTAAGAAGTTTTCCAGTTGTGCTCTGGAAACGAAACCCATCCTTCCTTTTTGAGACTAAGTCCGAATCATTTCCATGGAAACCGAGTAAAATAATAAATCACAAATATCTGCAAATAGCAAAAGGCACCACTTTGGGATCTGCCTCACATATCTGCCAAGTTTTGCTGAAAGATATAGAGAAGTTTTTGAGTTGTGCTCCGGAAACGAAGCACACCCCTCAGTTTTGGGACTAAGTCCGAAACGTTTCCAAGGAAACCGGGGAAAATGAAAATGCAAAAATCTGCAAATAGCAAAAGGCACAACTTTAGGATGTGTTTGATATATCTACCAAGTTTTGTTGAAAAATATTATACGGTTTTTGAGTAGTGCTCCGGAAACGAAAGCAATCCTTACTTTTTGAGACTAAGTCCAAAATGTTTCCATGGATAGCGGGAAAAATAAAAATGACAAAAATCTGCAAATACCAAAAAGGCACCACTTAAGGATCTGTTTCATACATCTACCAAGTTTTGTTGAAAAATATTGAACGGTTCTTGAGTTATGCTCCGGAAACGAAGCCCACCCCTCACTTTTGCAACTAAGTCCGAAATGTTTCCATGGAAACCGGGAAAAGTAAAAATGCTAAAAATCTGTAAATAGCAAAGGGCACCACTTTAGGATCTGTTTGATATATCTACCAAGTTTTGTTGAAAAATATTGAACGGTTCTTGAGTTATGCTCCGGACACGAAACCCACCCCTTCCTTTTGAGACTAAATCCGAATCATTTCCATGGAAACCAAAAAATAATAAATCACAAATATCTGCAAATAGCAAAAGGCACCACTTTGGGATCTGCCTCACATATCTGCCAAGTTTTGTTGAAAGACATTGAGCAGTTTTCGAGTTGTGCTCCGGAAACGAAGCCCACTCCTCACTTTGGGGACTAAGTCTGAATCGGTTCTATGGAAACCGGGAAAAATAAAAATGCCAAAAATCTGCAAATAGCACAAGGCACCACTTAATGATCTGTGTCATATATCAACCAAGTTTTGTTGAAAAATATTGAACGGTTCTTGAGATATGCTCCGGAAACGAAGCCCACCCCTCACTTTTTCCGAATCGTTTCCATGGAAACCGGGAAAAATAAAAATGACAAAAATCTGTAAATAGCACAAGGCACCACTTGAGGATCTGTTTGATATATCTACCAAGTTTTGTTGAAAAATACTGAACGGTTCTTGAGTTATGCTCCGGAAACAAAGCCCACTCTTCTTTAAGACTAAGTCCAAAACGTTTCCATGGAAACCGAGAAAAATAAAAATGACAATAATCTGTAAATAGCAAAAGGCACCACCTTAGGTTATGTTTGACATATCTACCAATTTTGGTTAAAAAATATCGAACGGTCTTTGAGTTATGCTCCGGAAACAAAATGATTACGGACGGACGGACAGACGGACGAGGCGACGACTATATCCCAGCGCATTACATGCCGGTGGGATAAAAATATTATATTAACAATATAGGTGTAAAAAACCCAATTAGATTTAGTATATTGATAACAAATTGTTACATTTACAAGATATGTGTAAAAATTGGTATATTTGTTTTACGTGAAGTAACGTGAAAAATATTGAATGCTAGTGCAAATCCTAAGAACTATGACAAAATTGGTCCCTGTGCATGGAATCTATTGCTGGAATCTGGTTAAAAGAGACGCTGAACAATTCTCATTCACCCACACAAATGATAGTGTTGTTTCATGATGGAAGCAAGCACTGCTATCAATGCTATTGGATATGTGCAGATGTGCTCTCATAAACCAACTGTTCATTGTATGAGTTTGTGTCACTCTAATGATGAGATCCTACAGCTGCCACAGCTCTGGTCCCTGTAATGACAAGATGCTACAGCTCTAGCCAATTTGGCAACCAGTTGCTACAGCTTTTGCCACTGTAGGGGCCAGCTGTTACAGCTCTTGTCACTGTAGGGACCAGCTGCTACAGCTCTTGTCGCTGTAGGGACCAGCTGCAACAGCTATCACAACTCTGTAATGACAAATTGCTACAGCTCTTGCCAATGTGTGGAACAGCTGCAACGGCTCTTGTCACTGTAATGACCACCTGCCACAGTTCTTGTTAACGCATGGACCAGATACTTGAGATAAAGTCATTACAGGAACCAGATGCTTGCGATAAAGTCATTGCAGGGACCAGGTACTTGAGCTAGCCACTACAGGGTCGAAAAATACAGGGTTCCCACAGGCATGGCAGGCCAAAATTCCCTGACTTTTCCCTGATAAGTATAGATTTTTCCCTGACCATTTAAGTTTAAAAACTGGCCTTCTTCCTCCCTTTCAGTCAGTCCTAACCACCCTGTTAAGATATTTCCTTCACGCATATCATAAATACACACAATATTTGTTACTTTATTACATTAACCAAAACATTTATATTTGTGAGGAAGAACATTTTCCTTGACGCTCCTGCCACAATGTTACATAATACTATTAGATACATTTGACCGTGATCATCAAATATATATTCTCAGGTGAAGTCAGTAATATATCATCTGAAAACTTTGTATTTTATATTAAAGGCTTTTGACAAAGAGCATAAATGTGAAACTAATGATTTAATTGAATTGTTTCATTCAAAGTCAGGAACACATTTCTTCATTATCACAAAATGTTGTAATTATCAAAGGCGTATTTGGAAAGAATAAACATGCAAGATGTAACTTTCCATTCAGTACAACCATGACAACTAGATTATGAACATCATTAAACCACTTTCCATTTGTGAATAAACAGCAAATGTCAGAACATAGGGCATATAAAACCTATAAACCTATGCTGTACTTTAACAATGGAACTTATATGGGTATTTTTGGCCAATATAGGCTAACATAGTTATCTTTAGAAGAAGTGGATCTGTCGCCTATAAAGAAAAATGTTTTTGAATGGCAAACAATTATCTATTGTTAATCACTATGCCTATCTCGGACTAGTGTTTTTCCATACAAAACAAGAGTCATCAGAAGATGACAAATCCCCCAGCTCATACAAATATGAAAGAGCAAATCATCTGACAGTTACTTAAAGTTGAACTTCATTTTTTTCAGACAAATTTCAATATGTTTCCATGGAAACCAAGAAAAATAGATATGACAAAAATCTGTAAATAGCAAAAGGCACCACTTTAGGTTCTGTTTGATATATCTGCCAAGTTTTGTTGAAAGATATTAAACGGTTTTCGAGTTGTGCTCCGGAAGCAAAGCCCACCACTCCCTTTTAAGAACAGTCTAAAACGTTTCCATGGAAACCAAGAAAAATAAAAATGACAAAAATATGTAATTAGTCAAGCACTGAGGGAGCACTGAAGTGGGAGCCCTGAAATACTACAGTTCATGTGACTTCATGACCCAGCTGCTACAGCTCCTGTTACTCCAGTGACCAGTTTATGGGAGAGAACCCTTTCTTCTGCAGAGCATCATTAGTGGCAGAGAAACACTTACAGCCTGCGAACCTGGTAAAACTTAGTGGGGAGGGGTGAGCATTCTTAATGATTGTGTGCTTTTTATCATCAATTTGTTTGACCTTTTCCTGAGCAATGTTTCCCCAGAGGTTGAAAACGACAAATGGGCAGTGATCACTGATGATCTTGATGACCTGGTCAGTCAGCTTCTGCCAGTCATAGCCTTTATGTGAGTCAGGTTTGCGTGCCCTGAAACAGAAGAGGTAACGAAATGCAGGGATCAAAATAAGGAGATGAAACCTTCTTGCACCCAACGCAACATTAGGGAAATAACCTTGTTGCACCTGACAAACAGATTGCACCTGCAGCTCAATATATAGTGATTACACAGCTTGTGGGTGTTGAATATGACAAATTGTCCAACTCAATATTCTTAAACGTTTTGATTTATTCACAAGCCAAATTTCCATATTCGACATCCACGAGTTTTGTGATCTATTTATCACACATAGGTTGGGAAGACAGTGTGATCTAGAATGACAAATCAAGCGGATGATGCCAGATGTAAACAAAATGAAAGGGAGATAACTCTGTCTTAGTATTACGTTAAAGGCAAACATAAACAAAAATATTCAGTTGAAAAACAACTACTAATCCCCATGACACTGTAATTGAACTTTAATCATGTACAAACCTAATGTTTTGTTTGGTTGACATTTTTGGTAAAAAAAATGCTTGAATGGAGTTAAAGTGTCAATTCAAAATATCAAGGTAGCAACAGAAATGTCTGCATTATGAATTCACCATCACTGAATAATCTAGTTTGGTTACACAACACTCATTGGATAATTTACAACTGGCTACACAACACCTGTTTCAAATAACCAAATTAAACTCACAAAGATATATAGGTTATCATCCGAATATGTTTTGGGATGGTTAATATCCTGCTTTGAGAATAAACATTGTATTTAGCAAACCTTGGCGAGATAAATACATAGTGTTTACTTCATATGCAGGATGCTGAGCACCGCTGCTAGCTTCACATACACAATGAGTAACAGCTGAAAAAATTCAGAAATAGATTTTTAATACGGCCATTACTGCAACCATTATGAACATTCAGACTTAAACCAATTGAACATATATTCAGGTGTATTATATAAGGATCAGGACATGAAGATTAAGCTTCACGATTATTTCTGTGGTTTGAGAGGGTGTTTTTCACATTTTCAGTATGTTTACTGGTAGACACATTTGATTTTCCATCAAGCTGTTTTGTACGGAAGCGTAGTGTTTTGGTCTCATTATCTCCTACGTAGGTCATACTATGTCCTACGTAGGACATAGTATCTCCTACATAGGATATCGTATCTCCTACGTAGGACATTGTATCTCCTACATAGGCCATTGTATCTCCTACGCAGGACTTAGTATCTGCTACGTAGGACTTACTGTCTCCTACGTAGGAGTTATTAAGTCCTACGTAGGACATACTCTCTCCTACGTAGTACTTAATATCTCCTACGTAGGACTTGGTATCTCCTTCTAAGTTTTACTATATCCTATGTAGTACTTACTATCTCCTACGTAGTACTTAGTATCTCCTACGTAGGACATACAATACCTCCTTTGAAGGAGATGAGCGATATATATTAATATACATTAATTTGAAATGGTCAACTCAAAACCCCAGACACGCAAACAATCCCCTCCCCCCGTTTCAGTCAGTGTTGTATACAGTCATGTGTTTCATTTCCTATTCGAGTCTTGGTGGTGGGGTAGCCTAGTGGTTAAAGTGTTCGCTCGTCACGCAAAAGGCCCATGTTCGATTCCCCACATGGATACAATGAGTGAGGCATATTTCTGGTGTCCCCCAGCAATGATGTTACTGTAATATAGTTAAAAGCAGCGTAAAACTGAACTCACTAACTCACTCACTATCTACTATCATGTGTTTCATTTACTATAAGAGTCTGCTGTTTCATTCACTATTAGAGTCTTGTGTTGAACTAATTGCTGCACATTACTGTCACGTGTTGGACGGACTGCTATACTTTACTGCCTTGCATTCAGTTTGCTCTACTATTACGCGTTGCAGTTATTCACTGTTATATGTTGCACTTTGTTACACTTTACTCTTATGCGTTGGATATTTCAGAGGTCATGGCACATGATCCATAATCTGCATACACAGACCTGTCTAAGATTATCGGTGTGAATCTATATTTGCCTATTTCCACGATTCAGAAGCCGGTCGAGTGTAGTAGCTACGTCGACAAATGTTTGTCAACAATATTTTCCCTGACCTTCCTCCAAGATAAAAGACAACATTACCATCTTCTTGTGAATAGATATTACAGCTTGTCGAGTTTGTGGCATGAAAATGTATACTGTAAATACTCGTGAAATGCATTTTCTGTAATATTTGACTAATAAAAAAACAAAAAAACAAATTATCACTGGAAAAAAAAAGAAGAGTTTGTGTCATTTCACATCATGGGGATTCTGTGATAGAACTTCAAGTGGATCCGGTCGGTAGGCTATGCGACATTTTAAATGCGAGTGACATTGATCATTGGCCAATATATGTCTTTTTGTGTTACAGTGGTTTACAAATAACTAGAATGACAATTCTTTGCCTTTTTGAATTTCGCATAGTTTTACACCGCATTCAAGCCTTTTTCACCCAGTCAAGTCAACCTGTAAACAATCACGAACAAAGCGCAAACAACGAGCGTTGTATCCGATCCAACCTAGCCCCATCGGAAGACAAGCAGCAGCTTGCGGAGGAGTTTCATATCATAACCTCATCCCTCCCCACCTACCCACCTCTCTCTCCCTCTGTGTATGAATAGATGCATGTATGATAGATCAAACATAACCATACCAAAATTGCTATAACTGCACTTATCAATAGAAGGTTCACGCCACCCTAACGTTATACACAACACTGTATAGCAACACTGCGTTAGTGTCATGAAAATTCACTGACTCACATTTCTACTATCTAACGTCCTGCATAAACAAACAAACTTTAAAAAGGGAACTTTTTCTGGAATTATTCAATTGCTACGATTGGCATACGCATGTAATTACAACATTAAGCGACACTCAGTACCCAGATTCGAATTGTAAATACCCGGTACTTTCTAACCATTACTAACCTCTAAGTAGACATAAACTGTAACATTAAAAAAATGGAAGAAATTATTATCAAGTCTGGACGTGGTTGCTCGACTGAATAATTACGTGTGACCCATCCACATAACTGCAGGATTCTTATCAATTTCCCTTTCAGCTCACGGAACATTAGTTGTGTATATACACAAATATCTTTTATATATATATTCATCATCTCCTATGTAGGAGATATTAAGGAAATACATGTAGTATGTCCAACGTAGGAGATATTAAGTCCTACATAGGAGATACGAAGTCCTACGTAGGAGATACGAAGTCCTACATAGGAGTACGAAGTACGTAGGAGAGACGAAGTCCTACATAGGAGATACGATGTCCTACACAGGAGATACGATGTCCTACGTAGGAGATACTAAGTCCTACATAGGAGATACAAAGTCCTACATAGGAGATACAATGTCCTACGTAGGGGATACTAAGTCCTACGTAGGAGATACTATGTCCTACGTAGGAGATACTAAGTCCTACATAGGAGATATTATGTCCTACGTAGGAGATAAAGAGACCAAAAAAAAAATTCACTGTGTCCCTACTACACTTCCGTAGCTTTGAACTATATGGCCTTACTTAAGATCACCCTGTTGACCACATTTCACGTCTAGGGCCCTTTATGTTTTTCAGAATAAAAGATTCATCCTAGTGACAATATTGATATTAAAATTGGATGCTTTGATGTGTCAGTTTATTTGTTTATTTGTTGTTTTAAACCCTGCACTCAGCAGTTTCCAGACATAAGACATGTATCCCCTTAGTTGTGTCTTTATAAAAACATGAGTTGCTGAAGACCAAATCTAACCCTGGTATGGATGATTTGAAAAGCCATTAACACCCTTATAGAAACTAGAGGTGTGACGATACAGAAATTTTATGATACGTATCTCGATATCTTGGAATGATACGATTCGATACAATGCGTATCACGATATGCTATCTTTAGTTATTTTCTATAAAAAGGTGTATTTGAATAACAAGTAACAGTGTAAATTTTGACACACCCGTCAATTTCCAGTGAAAATTCACAATTTTTAGGTCAACGATACACATCACGATATTAAAAAAACGTATCGATATATTTATTGTCAGAAAAGATATCATGATTATCGATACGACGATATATCGTCACAGCTCTAATAGAAATAACATCCAAGCCATTATGAGAAGAGGACAAAAATATAGAATTATTACTTCATAATATTTTCGGACAATGTTCATAGCACACGAAACGACAATAGTACACGCTGTGACACAGGCCAGTTGAGCTAAAAAGCCCTCAGCAGTCACCTCTATATATCACACAAACGCTATGAGACAAACTTACTCCACAGTGAGCGTAGCATTGAGAAGGAACACTCCTTGTACAGCCCATTTCTCTAGACTTCCGCCAGCAGGCGTCTTGAACCCTGGGATGTCTGTTGTCAATTCCTTGTAGATGTTCTTTAGAGACGGAGGAACAGCCAGTCCATCTGGCATCGAGAACGCCAGCCCTTCCGCCTAAAACCAAAAGCCCTTGGTTTCAAATTATCCAAAACAGTTAGAACCAGATCCCCATATACTACACAGTTACCTCCCTTAGACCACTCTGGTAATGTCTCACTAAACAAATATTGAAAACAGGCATTGACACAATATTGTTGGAAATTTTCAACACTGTGATATTTTACGATCATATTCGGTAATAGCAAGACAAAGTTATAATAAAATAATAAAGTTAATATTTGTATAGCGCCTGTTCCAACATATTGCTCAAAGGCGCTTAGGCGAAGGCTATGTTGAACAAGTGGGTTTTTAGTTGTCGTTTAAACTGGTCGAGATTGACAATGTTCTGAATGTGCCGAGGAAGACGGTTCCAGAGCCAGGGGCCGGCTTTGGAGAACGATCTATCTCCATAGTGTCTTTTCCTAGTCATAGGAACATCCAGTGCTCTTGATGGTCTTGACCTCAGCTCTCTCCCTGGAGTGTAGGTTGATAGGAGTTCACTGATATACTCAGGAGCTAGACCATGAAGCGATTTGAAAACAAACACCAGCCAATGGAGGTCTTGTAGGACCGGGAAGATGTGATCTCGACGTCTGGTGTTGGTGATTACTCTGGCTGCACTGTTGTGCACTCTCTGGAGTCTGGAGAGTGAGTATTCCGATGCCCCATACAATAGACTATTGCAGTAGTCTATGCGAGATGTGACAAACGCATTAACTAGAGTCTTGACTGCATCTGTACCAATATGCTTCTTGATCAAGCTGATGTTTCTCAGATGGTAGTAGCATGACCTGCATACAGCATCGATGTGTCGCTCAGATGACAAGGATGACTCAAAAGCCACACCTAGATTCCTTGCTTGAGAACTGGGGTTAACATCACAGTCACCAAGTTTCAATGGTGGGAACTGAAAGTTTGAAAGCAAAGATTTGGATCCAAAGATAATAAGTTCTGTCTTGTCGGCGTTGAGTTGGAGAAAGTGCGTGGACATCCAGTGCTGGATCTCCTTGACACAATCTACGATGGTCGCCTGAGCATTAGCAACAGAGGATGGGTTGAAAGGTCGGAAACCCATGTAGATCTGGGAATCGTCGGCATATAGATGAAATCCCAGATTGTATTTTCTGACAATGTCTCCTACAGGTAGGGTATACAAGGTGAATAGTATGGGACATACAAGCTTCTGCAGTCAGTTTCCTGGTCATATACAAGCTTCTGCTTCTGTGATTCTTTGCCGTCGATGATTACAGATTGGAATCGGTTGCATAGCTATGACTGAAATCACTTCAGAGCATCTCCAGTAACACCGACACGAGTCTCCAGGAGGGACAGCAGAATGGAATGGTCGATGGTGTCGAAGGCTGCTGAGAGGTCTAGTAGCACTAAGGCAGCTCCACCTTCAGAGTCGACAGACATTAGCAAATCGTTCTGGACACGTATCAGAGCAGATTCCGTACTGTGACCTAACTTGTAGGCTGACTGGCTACTACGCGCTCTATGAGCTTAGATAGAAACGTGAGGTTCGACACAGGGTTCTTTAAGGTATCAGGATCTAAACTAGGTTTCTTCAGGAGGGGTCTTATAAGTGCTTCCTTCAGACATGGAGGAACTTCACAACTTGTCAGTGAGAGATTTACAATTTGTGTTAAACAAGTATAGATCTCATCTTATATCTATCTTCAAAACGTGTGCAAATAAAATAATTCAAAATCAATGGCTATGTATAAAAAAACCCCAGGGCATTCCTTAAGAAATTCCTGGAATTTCCTGGAGAATGACCAGGAAACTGACTGCAGAACTTTACGCTGTAAAAGAACAACCCAATTGAACAATAGCGTGATGTCACTTGAGGTTTATAAGTGAGTTTCTCACCTGCCCGTCACCGTGGTATGGGTCTTGTCCAAGGATCACAACTCTCACCTAAAAAACAACACACATTGTCAACATGCCATTAAGAACGGTACCACTGTGTTGAAATCAGTAAAGTTGCCCCTTCTCATTTTTATTTCACAACACATCAACTGTTCAACCGTATAACCTTAAAATACAACCATATCCCCATTGACTGGATCCATGCTCATGATTTTAATCACTGGATTGTCTGGTTCAGACTCTTTGTTTATGGCCACCACGTAGTTTAATATTGCTGAGTACAGCGTTAAACGACAAATATACAATCAGGAATTCAGAAATATATCATATATATACACCCATGCATACATATACAGATTAGCCCGTGAAGATCCTGGTTAGAATGTGAATTCAGTAACCCATGCTTGTTGTTAGAGGTGACTAACGGGATCGGTGGTCAGGCTTGCTGACTTGGTTGACACATGTCATTGTATCCCCATTGCATAGATCGATGCTCATGCTGTTGATCAATGGATTGTTTGGTCCAGACTTGATTATTTACAGACCGCCGCCATATAGCTGAAACATTGCTAAGTGCTGCGTAAAACTAGACTCGCTCACTCACATATACAGAAAATCATAATATACTGTACATGTATATGCAGTAATAGGATTCCTGGTGTACAAAAAACATAACCGTAACCTGGGGTGGAAATAACCCATTGCCCGACGCCCGAGTCCAGTGTTTTTTTTCTGCCGGGCAAGCAAATTTGTATATCACACTGTACTGGTGTCCAATTGACTTTCCAATATTTATTATGTGGTTTATTTAAAAAATCAACAAGAAAACGGTCGGTATAGTGTAAAAATGATCAGGGCAGGTGATTTTACATGTGCCACTGTCCCGGAGTACACTAGCAATTTTAAAGTTCTTTCCACCACTGGTAACAAATTATACCTCTTCAGAGAGATCATGGGTAGGTTAAAATATCTCCTCAATATTGATGAAACACAAGGACAATTTAACCAACCAATATTTCAAAATATTTTCAGATTATCAATTAAGGACAATTTAACCAACCAATATTTCAACATATTTTCAGATTATCAATTAAGGACAATTTAACCACCCAATATTTCAACATATTTTCAGATTATCAATTAAAGTTTTAGTTTAAACAATCTGACGCCTTTACAGATTCAGATCTGTGACCTCACTTCAGACTTTCACAAAAATGTTTACCTTGTCAATTGGGGTCAGGTTAAAAGCATTAAAAATCTTTTCCTTTGGAGGAAAGATCTGCTTTGTTCCTGAGTAATCTTTCTCCAGCTGTTTCTGGAGGTCTTCAAAATACTGCTCTTGGAACACTTCCTGTAAGGCTTCTGTCCAGCTGCTTTCCGTTAGAAGGGACTTCAGGTCAAATGATGACGACATGCTTGCTTTCGCTTCTGCCACTTTTACAGGTGCTGAAGAGGAAACGAGGAAAACATGATCAGAGTATGGCAATTTAACTTCTTTTAGACATGTTTAACATCCTAAGAGAGACTTCAGTTTTTCCATATTTTCATGATATTACTAGGGTACAATTAACAGGAAATTGGCTGTAAATCTTTAAATGATGCCCCATGGAAGGTATTGTGTGCAAGACAGAGTGGTCAAGGTCATATCACATTAACTAGAAACCTACATTGTCCAGAATTAATCAAGGACACTTTTACAATACACACTATTTTTATCTTAAAATGTTAACATTTCGCTCAAAGGTTGTTTGTTTGTTTAATGCCACAGCCAACAATATTCTTGCTAAACATGTAAAGCATTATGTCTGGATTATACAATCCATAATAATAAATAAATAATAAAATGCAGATTTCTTCATGCGCCTTTTCCACGTCAGCAGATATGCTCAAGGCGCAACAATGACAAATTAAAAGAGTCTCCCACATTTATGCAGCAATATGTACAGGTCCAAAATAGAGTTCCTAATAATACATTGAAAACAGGTATGTTTTGAGTGCTGACTTGAATGTGGCAATGCTATCAGAAACTTTCAGATTGTATGGGAGTGAATTCCCCAAGGTTGGGGCTGCATATAAAAAAGTCCGGTTTCCAAAAGTTTTATGAAGTTTGGCACGAACAGAAACTCCTGATTGGATGATCGAAGGCAGCGCTTGTTTGAGTAAGGAGTAAGCAGGTCAGAGAGATATGGGGGAGCAAGTCCGTGACGGGTCATGTAGGTCAAGCAGAGGATTTTGTAGTCGCTTCTTGCCTTGATGGGGAGCCAGTGCAACTGTTTAAGAACAGGTGTGATGTGGCCATGTTTGGGAATGCGACGGATAATACGTGCGGCCGTGTTCTGCACCTTCTGTAACTTATCCAATAGCCTCTGACTGATCCCAAACAACAAGCTGTTGCAGTAGTCGAGCCTTGAAATCACAAGCGCCCGGACTAAGGCATGGGTGGCTTCAGCTGTAAGATATTGACGGATGTTGCTGGTGGAGCGAAGATGGAAATAGCAAGTCTTACAGATGTTGTTCACGTGTGTTTCCATTGACAGTGATGTATCAAAGTATATGCCTAGATCTTTGACAGATGTGCTTATAGGAACAACTGCATCGGCGATGGTTAGGTTCTTAATGGGACATCTTGAAATTTGGTGACTTGTTCCTACCAGAAGTGCCTCAGTCTTCGTGTCATTGAGTTTAAGCATATGAGTTGTCATCCATAACTTGATTTCCCCTGTGCAGTTTGTGAGTTCTTGAAGTGACTGATTTAGATTTTGCAGTGGTATTTTCTTGAGGAGTTGGGTGTCATCTGCGTAAGAGTGATGCGACATGTTGTGGACTGATGTGATGTTGGCAACATGACCAGTATACAGCAGGAACAGCAACGGTCCCAAAACAGATCCCTGTGGTACGCCATGTTTGAGAGTAATGCTGTCAGATCTGTCTTTCCCTATCATTACACACTGCCGTCTGTCACAGAGATAGGAGCTTATCCAGTTCAGTACTATGTCGTCAATTCCATACTGGGTTTTCAGCAGATTTATAAGGAAACTATGGTCTATGGTATCAAATGCTGAGGAGAGGTCTAAAAGGACCAATGCTGCTATGTCACCCCTATCTACATTCCGTCTCAACTCATCACTAACTTGCACTAAAGCTGTTTCAGTACTATGACATTGTCGGTATGCAGACTGATGCTTGTCCAATAGGTTATGATTGTCCAAGCGTTCCTTCAGCCTGATACTGACAGCCCTTTCCACAACTTTTGAAAGAAAAGAGAGATTCAATACCGCGCGGAAATTCTTGAAATCGCTACTATCCAAATTAGGTTTCTTCAGTAAAGGCTTAACAAAAGAGTTCTTGAATTCCTGAGGAAAATATCCGCTTCTGAGGCTTTTGTTTACAATGTCTGTTACAGTTGGCAAAAACAGATCAATATTTTCTAGAAGGAACTTGGTGGGAACTGGATCACCGGGGCAGGATGTTGGTTTTGATTTGGTCATAATAGTTCTGATCTCATCCTCAGAAAAAGGATCAAACCTATCGACTCCAGTGATTAACATCATCAGCATTCATTCATCAATGCTACCAGGGCATGCATCAACATGTTTAAGGAACAAAATAATTGTTGGTTTACTTTTATGCCCATTCAACCTTTTCCAAGCATTTATGGTGGCGGTGGGGAAGCTTAATGGTTAAAGCATCCGCTCTTCCTGCCGAAACCTCGGGTTCGATTTACCACATGGGGGGCGTGTACATGTGTCTGTGTGTGCAAAACATCAACTTCAATGTGGTCTTTACTCATTTTCAAAGGGGGGAGGGAGGAGAGAGAGGTGGATGGTGGGGGTGGGGCACTTCGAAAACAAACACCCATAAAAACCTGACTGCACAACATTTATTTGAGGTTCACAGTACTGGTATTTACTGTTGAAACCTGGCTACCTGAAAATGTTTACAGACCGCTGCCATATAGCTGGAATATTGCTGAGTGCTGCACAAAACTATAAACTCACTCATTCAAATGTACTGATTTAATTCACTAGTCATTTTATATGTATATAATTCATTAAAAACAAAAAAAAACATATTGCTACTTCATCAAACCAGCCCCCTCCATCCATGCTGTTGATCACCGGATTGTCTGGTCCACACTGGATTATTTACTGAATATTGCTGACTACAGAATACCTCATGCAATAAATTGAACGGGATCAACCACATACAGTTTCGGTTTTGGGTTGCGGAATATATAGATTCGTCTTCCTTTAGGGTACACGTCTGTATACAGAAACGTACCTGAGGTACCACAGGCGATCGATGCATTGGATACGCCCCTTATACTACTATAGGAACAAGGTAATTCACCCGCCGTATTGGACACCTCGATAAACCATAGGCGATCGATGCATCGATCGCCTGTGCGATAAACCTCTATTCACGCTGATTTCTCGCTTGACATGAATAAACATGGATATATTCAGCCACGTAAGTATTCGTTTTCGTTGTACAACTATATCTAAGTTTCATAAAGCCCCTTTATGTTGCCTTATTAGGCCGTTTCGACCGCTTATTGGCCTATATCGCATTTCTGTAACGCGTCCGGGCACTCCGCACCGAATGCTACCAAGCTCTCTGATTGGTCCATTTTACGATCACAACACAACGCTTGTTTCGTGGAGGGAAATTTGAAAAGTCCGAAATAAATGAGAAATGGCTTCCAAGAATTTAATATCATGGTAAGTAAAATTACTTTAATTGAAATATGAATTTGCAACGTCTTATATGGTTTTTGTGAAAGTTATCACACATGTATAATAATGAAAATAATATTTACAATTATATTTAGTATATGCATAACTGATTTAACATAAACATAACATAAACTCTACAAACCATAATGCCATTTTGATATCAAAATTTTGTCTTCTTCACCATCTGTAAAAAAACAACAACAAAAAACAACAACAATTAATGCTTTTATTGAATACATGTCATCAAATAATACTATTAGCCTCACTTGGAAAAACAACTCGTTATGAATGTTTTATTGAACCACCCAGAAAATATATTCCAATGTTGTTCATTAGAAAAGTAAGTAGTACTGTACAATTTGAAATTAACTCATCAGTGTGTATTTTTTAAGGATAATTAGACAAGTAATGATATTAAATGTTCTGTTATATGTCTGTTTAATATATTTGTGAGTGTGTGAGTTGATTTTATGATGCAGATTTCAAGACTTTTTCACTTATATTGCAGCCACTAGTATTATTAATAGGTAAGATGAAAATCTGCACCACAATTGTGGTTTGTAAAGCGATGAAACCTGCGAGCATTGACTTGAACTAGTGAACCATTAGTGATACACTGAAAGTCAATGTAAGATTGCATAAAAACCCTGACTGCCTATAGAAAAAATCTCTGCTGCAAACTGCAGGATTAGAACTCTGAACCTATTGGTTCAAAGGAAAGTTTGCTAACCACATGTTTTTTTGTGATATGTAACTGGATATCTAATTGAATTGAATTTACCAAAGTACTCAATATTTGCAGGTTACAGGAGACTTATGCAGAGAATCATACAGAGTCTATTCCAGTCTTACAGGTACTAGAAGCTGTGAAGCAAAACTTTGCAGATATTACTAATAAAAGAGCAGTCGGCGGATATTTAAAGGTCACATGCAACCAAAAAATCAAACATAATTAAAACACAATTATCACTTATTCATGACATATAATATACATTGCTGGTTACGAAAAAATATATAAACAAAATTATAAGCGTACAATCGCAAATCGAAAGTGCAAAATTGTGTACTTCGGTTTACTTCCCAAGAAACGAAGCAGCCGGGATACCGAACCCAGTCAGAGCGGGTGGGTTTGAACTCAAGTGTAACGGCTGGTTCATTTGCAGATGCCTTCACGGCTAATTGTGTGTGTAAATATATAGAGATGTTGGGGTTTGTAAATACATGCTCATTTTTTGTGTATAACATTTTGCAATCAACAGACATCATAACATGTCATGTGTTCAAGCATCACACCTGCTTGTCTGTGTAATTACATAATGTGACAAAGACCGAACTCGGGCCATAACTCAATGCATTTTGTTTATGGTGTATAGCCTGATTGGTGTTAAGTTCAAATTGCATGTGGTCAGTGATAGCAGCTGTGTATTGAATATTGTCATTAGCAGACAGGCAGGCAGACACACAGGTGTCAATAAAACAAGACATTGAGTCTTGTCTGTGACAACGACATATCTATATCACAGTTAGACATTCTGACATTGCTTTTAAGTATCGAACTGAGAAAGTGTCTCGGTAAGACTGACTGACTGAGTTTAGTTTTACGCCGCTTTTAGCGATATTCAAGCAATATCACGGCGGGGGACACCAGAAATGGGCTTAACACATTGTGCCCATGTGAGGAATCGAACCCGGGTCTTCGGCGTGACGAGC